TACTTGGTAAATGTTATAAAGCTGATGTTTTGAAAATTATGACTCATAAGCACACGGATTTCTTCATTTTTAAGATATTGCAAGCCTGGTCTAGGGATTTGTTTCACATCAGTTTATTACATTTTTATTGTTAAAAAAAAAAGTTTTCAATCTTTAAATAAGATTGCTGCTAATACATCTTAAAATTCTAAGACTGAAAGGAATTTCTTCCAGATTAAATTTCCAATTTAAAATAAGAAAATTATATTTTAGGACATTTTAACTTAAACATGAATGTCAAAATTTAGGGGAAATGAACTCCAAAATGAGCTTTTTATGAAATCATGAAACTGAAAACCAGAGAAATTAAAATATTGACATTCTTATCTATCCTTTATTGAAAGTCAAGGTAAATATAAGTCACGACTTAGTGAACTGAAAAAGTCTAAATAAGAATGTCATAATCTTTTAACAGATCATAGTTGAAATAAAATAAATGATCTGACATGTTGGTAAAAATCTTTTCAGTGGGAGTCAATTTACTTCGCTTACGGGAAGGCAAAAGTCACCACATTAAAATCACAAGCCAATTACCAATCCTGGCTTTGCAGTTCCCAAATCCTGAAAACAAAATTATTGTACTTCACTCTGGGATCGTCCGCATGTATGCTTTTAGTGTCAGATAACATTTTTAGAGAAGAGAAAACTTAAATCTTCTAACAAGAGTAGCACAATTTTAAAAAATGGTACAACTTTTAAAAGCTAGATTAATGGCCTACCTACTTCTGTACTTTACAGTTGGAAAATGAACATATCAGAAGCTTCTGAGAATAATATTAGAACATGACCACCTACCTGTTCACTTACTCGGTATCATTTTTACATATGAGAGTTTTCTAAATGCTAGGGGAAATACAAATCCAGCAAAGATAAGGACTCTATCTGAAATCTCAATTTTTCCCAAAATCAAGAGAAGCCCACCAGAAAGTTAAGAAGGCACTCAAGAAAAACAGATTCCCTCTCTGAAGTGCAGAAATCTGGTTAAGAAAAAAGTTGGTAATTATTTTGTTATTAATTCATTTAGCCATTCCATAGGCATGTCTCACATTTGTCTGTGGATGTTGTGCCACCGAACTAAAGATGAGGAGCTGGGTATCTCATTCATTCACCCCCACATTTCCCTGGTTCCTAGCAAAGTACCCTATACATAGTAGCAACTGAAAAAAGGTTGACTGAATTAAGGCAAAACATGTGTTTCAACTGCAGGTAATCAATTAGGCTCAAACTCATGCAAGAACATTCATAATTTCATTTTAGTTAATAAGCACTGAGTAATTTGATGTGTTTTTAATTTGCCAAGATATTAAATGAATTTCAAGCTCTGAGTAACATTCTTATTTTTAAGCAAATTCGAAAGAAAGTATGTAGTGAAACATTAAAAAAATATTCATACAAATAAAAAAGGCAATGATTGGTTTTGCTGGAACTAGACGGTGTTGGTATGGTGACCACAAAGTGACCCAGAACTGAAGTAAAAGGTTTGTTAACATGACAAGAACATTACAACGAGAATTAGAAGCTGGAAAAATAGAATTCTGGCTAGAAAAGTCATAGTGGGCAAGCAGGAGACTTAATACAGAGTACTGCCGTCTCCACTCAGACAGGGTCTTGAGAAGTTGGGAAGCCTGTATCCCACCCTGAAGAACAATTACTTCTCTACCAAGCTACACAGCGCTGCTAGAAACTGAGGTACAGACCACAGACCAAACCAGTTACTCACCACTACCATCACCCACCGAGCAGAGTGGGCCCTTTACGGGCTCCCAACAATTTCAGTTCCATCAACTCTCTAAAGCTCTAGTTGAGAAAAGAAGTAGGCAAATTATACCCCACAGGCCAAACTGGGCCAAATTCAGCCACCACCTGTGTTTGTATGGCCTGCAAGCTAAGAATGGTTTCTACATTTTTAAAGGGTAAAACAAAGACTCACATTTTATGACACATGAAAATTATATGAAATTCAAATGTCAGAATCCAAAAATAAGGTTTTCATTGGAACAACGCTGTGCTTATTCACTTACATGTGGTCTATAGCTGCTTTTGGACCACAATGGCAGAGATGCCAGAGACCTTCCAGCACACCCAGCCTACAATATTTACTACCTGGCTGACAAAGTACGCAGAACCCTGGCTAGAGCATTTCTTTACGTTCCTGGTTGCATCTCCTTTCTCAGAGGTGGTCCACTGCTTCGAAAGGTAGAGACTCTAAGCTTGACAGATGTCCATCTTGGGGCTGTGTTGTCCAAAGTTACATCATTACATATAATATCCTGCAACTCTTTAGGGTGGGCACAAAGACAAAGTAACAAATCACATGCATTCGGAAGGTCCTGAAAAGGTAGCATAATCCAAATACAACATTACAGGCAGCACACTTCAGCTCTTTTACCAGACTACTACATGGAGTTCTGGGTCACAGTGTGAAAGGAAATAAGAACCACAGAGAATTTGGAGGTTGGACAGATGATTAAAAGACCACAAAAATCATATCACTAAAGAAATGCTAAAAGAAATGGGATTCGTTTGCCCAAGAAATAGAAAGGTGGGAAAAGAACTACAATAGTGAGGGTGTCAAACTCTACATTTGTTGATAGAGTAAATAATGGCAGCCTGAACCAATACTCCACAAAACAGATATCTAATGAATTAAATGTGATTCTTAATGAGGCTGCCACTCCTGCCTTAGGCCTTAAAGTAGCCCCTTAAAAGATAATCACTTGTCAAATACTGTACTGTAGGCCTTCAACTGACCAATTATAAGAATGTTCCTTTTTCAGAAACATCTGGCATTATGTAAGTTACCAGCAAGTGTGCTATTAATGTGCTGAGGTTCAGTAATATTCAAGTAACTAAAAGGTAATGTAAGTTTCATAACCATATGCCTTTCTACAGGGCCAAATAGGGGGAAACGGGCTTAAATTACAGAATTCGTGTTACATTCAAGAATTTTAATTACTCTAAAAGATTACTGAGGGTAAAGGAATCTTCCCAGGACACCATTCAATTAGAATAGAACTATCTGGATGTTTTTCTGAAGCAGAAAAATGGGTCTCAAACCATTCTTCCACTGCTGATTCTATAGTTTTAACTATCCCAGTTCTCACGAGTAAAAGAGCCTGCAGCCATGCTCAGTTTCATTTTGTCTTGAAGGTGGTCAATGTACATACAACATGTAACATCAACTTTAAGATCCCAAATTAAAATCTGGTCGGAGCTTTGGTAACAACTTCTTTTAAATCCCAGATATAGAGGATACATTCCCTTTAAGTAGGCAAAATTGGGAAAATGGGCATAGTTTCCAAATACTTCTATAAGCCTAAGTACCTTATTATCTCAAAATGTCCAACACTTGCACACTGTAAGTGAAGATGGTATTTAGTTTTAAGCCTTTTAAAATACAGAATCTTTGAACACAAAATGTTCTTTGAGTCAATCTCAACACTGCAATTAATAATACAAATTCTGAAACTTACTCTAAATATAATTTTAATCAATCTGAGTTTTTCAACCTCGAAATTCTAAGGCCTGCATCTCTCTAAAAAAACCCTTGCAGTGGTGTGAAGCACACACTAATCTGACTCACTAAACTTTCTCCACTCCTACATCACCTATACAGGATTTTAAAATCAAGAGCACACAATACTTGCAAGCCACTTCTACAATCTTGCATTAACCTTACCAGGATAAACTTTTCGCCAAGTCTCTTAACACTTTTTTGTTTATTTAAAGACTTGTGGTAGTGAAACAAAGAAAAGAACCCCCTCCCCCTTTTTCTAAACCATATGGCAGTAAATTGAAGTTAACTTATTTTTTACCGGCTCAACGCCTATACATCGGTCCTAAACATGTTTCTCTTTGTGCCCTGGGACTGGGTTAGAACTGTCTGCTTATCTGCAACTGAACCCCAATCATGTTTTTAGATCGAAAAACAAGTCCAAAACGCCCCCTGACCATTAACAGACCTCACCACGGTCATTTACCAAAACCCGGTTGGATAGGTAGTGCAGGCAGGGCGAGGGGCCCGAGACCCGCCCGGAGCGAGTCCCGCTCTGACCGGGTGATCGAGCAGGGAGTTTACTCGCCCCAGCCGGGCCGGATCCGCCCCGGGAACTTGGTTACCCGAGCCCAGGGACGCGCCGAGGCCTAGCCGCGAGGCCGGGGCGGGCTCCGAGTGGCGGGGGCTTCTCGCTCCCCGGCCGCAGAGCCTTCCCGCCTGCCCCGCGGTTGCCCGCAGGCAGGGGCACTCGCCGTCGTCTCCCGGCGACCGGACGCGCCTGCCGGGTCCACGGACGGCTCCTCTGCCTCCCGCCGCCGCCTGCGGCCCCGTTCGGCGGCCGCACCGAGCCCTTCCGGGGCGGCGGGAGCGCTAGGCCGCGCCGGAGCCCGCGGCTCCGGGGCCGGCCAGGCGGGCCGCGGCGTCCGGTATCAGTCCCGAGGGCCGGGCTCCCGCCGGTAACGGGCCCCGCCGACTCCCCTCCCCCTCCCCCGCCCCATGACAGTGCAAACCCTCCGGCCGGCCCGGCCGCCCCGCCTCCGGCACCAGGCCCAGCTCAGGGCCGCGGCCGTGGCGGCGGCGGCGGCGGCGGCCGCCGTGGCTCTCCGCCCTCGCTCGCTCGCTCCCAGGCCAGGCGCCTCGGGCCCGGCTCGGGCTCGACCGAAGTCTCCGCCGCTTCCCGGCCGCCCTCCGCGGCGCCTGGCCCGGGCGGGGTAGGCCGAGGCCCGGGCGGTGGGGGTGGGGGCGGGGGCTCCTCTCACCTTCATGTCGGGACATCCTAGTTCAGACGGTGGCGGCACGGCCCCTCCCGGGCTCCGGCTGCAGTGTCCCCGGCGGGGTCCCGGCGCTGCCCGCGCCGGCCGGCCGACTCCCACTCGACTCCCGGGCTCGGCCGCGGGGGCGGGGTGGGCAGGGGAGCGCTCCCGCGGCGGCGGCGGCGGCGGCGGGGAGGCGGCGCGGGGCGGGAATGGGGCCGGGCCTGGCCGGGGCTGAGCTCCTCCAGGAGGCGGGTCCGACGCCGCGGCTCCGCCGGCGCCCGCCGTGACTCGGTCACTCTCGGGCCCGCCGGCTCCCGGCTGCGGCGCGGCGCTCCGCAAATCCCGCTCCTCCCCTCCCCCGGCCCACCCCCCGCCCCTCTCCCCCGGCTCCCGGCCGCCGCCTCCTCCTCCTCTTCCTCCTCCTCCGCCTCCTTCCGCCGCCCGCACGCCGGCCCCGCCTCTAGCTGCCCGCGCCGGGCCCAGCCGCCCGCAGGCCCCGCGGCCGGCGGGCGCGGCGGGGGCGGCGCGGCGCTTCCCCGCGCTCGCCAGCAGGCCGCGGTCGGGCGCCCGAGCCCGGCCTCGGCCTGGCCTGGCCGCCGGCGCGCCGCCGCGCAGCGCGTAGGGAGGAAGAGGAAATGCCTGGCCGCCGGCGCCCGCTGCTCGCCGGTACTGCCGGTCCGCGTGGCCCGAAGGGCGCCCTCCTGCCCGGCCGCCCCAGCTCCGTCTGGGCCCTAGCGGGGTCCCAGCAGTGGGCGCCCGCGCCGCTGCGCTGGGCTGGGCTAAGCTGGAGTGACCGCGGTCGGCGGGTGCTGCACGGCAACGAGCTGCGGGCCCCGAGGGGCTCTGGTTCTGGGGAGCTTGGCTGTCTGGCCGGCTGGGGAAGCGAGCGGCGGGCTCCGACCCTTAGGAGAGGCTGCGGACTGCCTGGGGACATGTGTTTGTGTTTCTTTTTAAGCCAGCTGCTCGGAACGGAGAGGCTGCTGGCCTCCGGTGGTCGTCGGGTGTTGCCCGGCCGGTGACTCGCGGTCGAGAGAGGGCGTGGGCGCGGGAGGGCGCGGGAGGCGGCCGGGCTTGGCTACCGTGCTCCAAGGCGGGCTCCTCGAGAACCATCTCTTTGAAGACTCTGCCCCCGCCAGTCTGGGTGTCCGACGGTACCCGCGCAAAATTTGATCCAGCTCCTTGGCTCGCCCTCATTGCGCTGCTTGGAAAACTGTTGGGGGGTGGGGTGTGTTTTCCTTTTTTTTCCCCTGCCCGTGAACCACTTTCCCGTCTTCATTTCTCTTTCACATTTTTACCCTCTTCCTCGTCAACTTTGTTTTCAGGCTTATTAATTCAACGAACATGCATACTGACTGCCCCTTAACATGTGTTCGTGGTAGCGTGGTTTGTTAGAAATAGACCATGCTTTGGAGTCAAGACAGATCAGCCATCGGATTCTGGTTCTGATATCCTCTGTGTAGCCTTGGACAAATTATTTAACTTTGCTGAGCCTCCGTTTCATTGTACCGTGTTTGGTTTTGGTTATTTTAATTTATCCTTTTATATTTGAAGTTGTTCTTGTTTTTTTTTTTTGGTTGTGTGTGTGTGTGTGTGTGTGTGTGAAATTAATCCTGTCTCTAGGCTAAAGCTACTACTCTTAATCCCGCATTACTAGCTGTGTGACCCGGGGCAAATGATAGCCTTCCTGTGCCTTGATTTCCCCATCTTTAAACTGAGCATGATTACGGATGATACTGTGTCTAATAATGATAATAACAAGGAGGTATTTGGAGGACTAAGTGCTGAAATGTACATACAATATCTAGCACAGGACATAGTAAAAATAGTTTGTTATAAAATTTAATTAAATTTGGTTTTAAGGCACTTCTTGATTTCAAACATATTGAAAAGCTCATCTTTAAGTCAAGAAATAGCTATTGGTGCACTCAGATCTACCCAAGGACTGTATTTGGTAGTCACTAGTGATAGATATCAGCCAAATAAGGTTTAAACAAACGAGGATTTAAACAAGAACTTTGTCACCGGAAATATGTCCATTGCACTTCGGGAGCTTTTGCCTAAATTAAATCCAGCCCAGTGGTTAAAGAAAGCGGTCCATCCAGGCCATAACTGGGGTTTGGTGGAATAGAACTGTGCTTCCAACGGGGCTGGCTAACACTTAAACTGAATGCTTACCTGCATCTTCCTAAGCACTTTACAGTATTGGTGTGTGTGATCCTGGGTACCAAACATGGGCTTCTGTTTCTTGTGCTGTAAAGGTGAGGACAACACCACCCTACAGTTTTGTGAGTGAATGAAGTCTGTAAATATCTTAAGACACAGAGGTTAAGGCATTGTCAGTAACAGTCAAAGCATGCTGGAGTGGGGCGCCTGGGTGGCTCAGTGGGTTAAGCCTCTGCCTTTGGCTCAGGTCATGATCTCAGGGTCCTGGGATCGAGCCCCGCATCAGGCTCCCTGCTTTGGGAGCCTGCTTCCCCCTCTCTCTCTGCCTGCCTCTCTGCCTACTTGTAATCTCTCTCCGTCAAATAAATAAATAAAATCTTAAAAAAAAAAAAAATGCTGGAGTAGGTAGGAGAATGGACAAAAATATTGCACTTAGGAAGGAATAAGAGTAAGTATATAGATTTAGTTTTGGTTTGGGGGGGTATCTAATTCTGTTTAGGAGAGCAAACAGGTAAATGTCTAAAACTCACGGGAATATCAGATCTTTGATAGTTGTTCCATTGTTTTCAGTTCGTCAAAAGAAAGAAAAGTGACTAAACGTTCTTTGCATAAGACTAAGCAAGAATATTATAGTTATTTGGGGTTTTCTTGACTGCAGGAAACATTTTCTCAATTCAGTTAAAGGTCAGGCCCTTCAATTGAAAACAACCTGCTTGCTCTCCTGCCACATGGGATATTTTATTTCTGAAAAGTTTAAGTGCTTATACCAAATTATCTATCAGATGATTTCTGTTCTCTAGAAATGGTCCCTCCAGTCCTTTCCTTTCCCAGTATCTCCTCGAGTTCTTCCAGGTCCTTACCTTGCCAGCCCATCTTCCATACCATAGCCCAATTCTGTTCAGTAAAAGAAGCTAACGCATGGAAACCCTGGTGAAATCTGAATACGGTCTGTAGTCTGGTTAATTGTATTGTGCTGACATCCACTTCCTGGCTATGATAATTTTCTGTAGTCCTGTAAAATGTTACTACCATTGGAGGGAGCCAGGGGAGTGTACACGGGCCCTCCCTGCAACTTCCTGTGTGTGTTAATTATTTCAGAGAAAAAGAATTGTAGACAAATCAGGGGCGCCTGGGTGGCTCAGTGGGTTAAAAATTGTAGACAAATCAGATAATTGCCTGCCACTGAGGGGCCTGGGGATGGGGATTGACTACAGAGAGAACTTTGAGAGGTGATGGGGATATTTTAAGTCTTGATTGTCTTTTTTTTTTTTTTTAAGATTTTTTTATTTATGTCAGCACAAGCTGGGGCAGCAGCAGGCAGAGCAGGCAGAGGGAGAAGCACATTCCCCACTGAGCAAGGACCCCATGTGGGACTCAATCTTAGGACCCTGAGATCATGACCCGAGCCAAAGGCATACACTTAACCAACTGAGCCACCCAGGCATCCCAAGTCTTGATTGTCTTAGTGTTACTGAATACATTTGTCCAAACTTAAAGAACTATGCACCCAGAAGGATAAAGTTTACTTCTATATAAATTATACCTCAAAACTGACTTGAAAAAAAGGAAAACAAGCTCTTGTCACTTCAGCCTCCTGTGGCCTATCGGAATGAAATTTAACTTGTGTAAGGCCCAACATCTTCCATCTGCCCGTGTACCCTGTGGTGTTTATACTGTATTGATTCCTGCCCCCGAGCCTTTGCACTTGCTCTTGCTTTCACTTAAAGAGAGCACAGGAAATTTCAGGCCCAAGTTCAGATTCCCTGTACTCTGTTAAGCCTTCCTTGTCTCCATTAGGCACAGCAGTACCTTCCTCTGTTCTGCTCGTACTGTGTGCTGTAATTTTTAGTTAGATTTCATCTCTCAGCTAAACTCCAGGGTAGGCATTCACATGATTCATTTCTATCTCTGGGATCCAGTAGCGTTGAATGAGTGAGTGAGTGAATGAACGAATGAATGATTGAAAACTAGAAGAATGCTTATTAAAGTGTGGTCCAGTGTCCTCAAGACCTTTCAAGAAGGTCAGTGAAAGTGCTTGGATTTTATATACTTCAAACAGCACACCTCAATAGATTGAATGCAGAGGCAGATAAGGTCATCCAGCTGTCTTCCGTTAGGCCAAACGTTAAAGATATTTGTAAAACAAGCAAACATTGTCACACCTCCAAATGTTTTTGTTTTGGAAAATTGTTATTTTTCTTAAAAATATGTTTAAAGTGTAAAGTGATTCTGAGACCAAAACATTTTAAGAATCTCTAAAGGTAGAGATTCTTACAACTGCCTCGTTGGAATGAGAGATAATGATGCGGACGATTAGTAGTGCTCTGGTATGGGTAGCAGGCATTGTTATGAGCCCTTTAGTTACTTTATGGGTGCTAGTATATCTTTATCTTACTCATAAGGCAAGTGAGGCACAGAGAAGTTAATTGACTTGGTCACATACCTAGTCACTGCTAGAGCCAGGATCTGAGCCCCTGTGGTTCCAGAGGCTCTGCTACTAACTAGTTTTCTTCCACCTCCTTAGAGGCCTGGAAAGGGTCAGAAAACCTTGTGCTATCTGGTAACCTCACCCCCTGTACGCTCTCTAACCTCACAGTTACTGCAAGAGTCACTAAGTCCTTGAACTTGCTTTGCAGTTTTTTTAAGATATACATATTATTATTATTATTTATTTGACACAGAGAGCACAGCAGGGGGAGCAGGAGTGAGAGGGAGATGGAGAAGCAGGCTCCCCTTTGAGCAAGGAGCTGGACCTAGGGCTCAATCCCAGGACACCGGGATAATGAACCGAGTTGAAGGCAGATGTTTAACCGATTGAGCTACCCCAGCAACCCTGCTTTACCGTTACCATTTCAAATTCTGCCATCCTGAGTACTTTCAAGCATGGCCTTGAAATGCCTTGATTTCAAATCTAACCATGTGTACCTACACTTCACCTAGTCCCATCTCATGACCATACCCGGAACTTGGATATACAACTTCCTGTTTTATTATAACTTCCTGTTTTTTCAGTTTTCTTAATCTACCACTATATGTATCCTTTTACTTATTTAGAATCCCAAACCCTCAGATTTACCATTTGGTCCTTATTTTTTCTTTTAACCCCAAGCTCTTCCTGATACAGCAGGTGCCCTCTCTGCAACTCAAGGTATTCTCATTCATGACCTTTTACGTTTTTGTTTTTAAGATTTTATTTATGTATTTGACAGAGAGAGATCACAAGTAGGCAGAGAGGGGGAAGCAGGCTCCCTGCTGAGCAGAGAGCCTGATGTGGGGCTCAGTCCCAGGACCCTGAGATCATGACCTGAGCCAAAGGCAGAGGCTTAACCCACTGAGCCACCCAGGCGCCCCTAGTTCCTCGTTTTCAACCTACATCAGCTCTGCAAACTTCCTGTCCTGAATCACTTGCATGACTCCATTTCTCCCCGCCTGTATCTGATTAGGGTGCAGAACATAGCATTAAAAAATGATGGAAATGTATGGGGAGGGGGTGGAGAGCTGTTAAAAAAATCTAGTGGGTCCAACTGCAGTTGGATATCTGTTCAGTAGTCTGTGTCTTTAATCAGCCATCTACCATTCTCAGATTACTATAAACCTTCACTTGTCTTCAGTTGCTTATGCATCCATATCCCTAATGTATAACCTCACCTTCTAATCACAAAGTAAAGTTTTAAAAAGCAAGAACGGGGGCACCTGGGTGGCTCAGTGGGTTAAGCCTCTGCCTTCGGCTCAGGTCATGATCTCAGGGTTCTGGGATCGAGCCCCGCATAGGGCTCTCTGCTCGGCAGGGAGCCTGCTTCCTCCTCTCTCTCTGCCTGCCTCTCCGCCTACTTGTGATCTCTGTCAAATAAATAAATAAATAAAATTTAAAAAATAATAATAAATAAATAAAAAGCAAGAACAGGGGCTCAGTGGGTTAATCCTCTGCCTTCGGCTCAGGTCATGATCTCAGGGTCCTTGGATCTTGCCCTGCATCCAGCTTTCTGCTCAGCAGAGAGCCTGCTTCCCCCTCTCTCTCTGCCTGCCTCTCTGCCTACTTGTTATCTCTGTCAAATAAATAAAATCTTAATAAATAAATAAATAAATAAAAAGCAAGAACATCTTTGCACTATGAGCCTCTAGGGGAATCTGTCCATGTGTATCCTGCTGCCTCACGCCCTCGCTCCCATCCCAGAAGAACTGAGATATCTCTTGGTTCAATCCCACCTCTGCTTAGGATTCCACTTCAACCCTTCTTGGCTCACTCTCCTTTAGCCACCCCCTTAACATCTGTACTTCCAACTGCTCAGCCTCCCTGGTTCATTTCCCTTGTCCAAAAACACTCCAATCCTATACTC